CGTCAGGCAAAGGCCTGGTGGATCGGAGATCGGTCGTGTAATGTTGCCATGGCAACGGCACCAATGGCAGCCCCTCACTGGCGATGTTCTTTGTGTAAATCATCTGCTGAATCCACCAACTTGCAACTATCGACGGAGGCTTTGTGAGCCCGCAAACCTGAGTGACATGACACGTGGGCCACTCTCTTTCTCTCTCGTTGGTGGGGTTGAAGAGATTAGCTGGTGGCTACGAGACAATTTACTTTCTCAACTGCTTTCTTACTGGTGGATCAAGTTCACATTGCGTGGCTGCCAACGGAGAGTGAAACTTGCCACGGCTTGAGAAAATGATGTTGAATCTCGTTTTTGCTTGCAACGTTTTAGGCTGCTGCATTCTTCAGATACTCTTAAAAAATTTGACGACAAAATGCAGTTTATGAATTTATATCGGCTCGAGTAGTAGCCGGCCTCGCATTCAGGAAGGTAGATTAGCATCAGGTTTTTTTGTCGCGACGACAAAGTCACCACTCCAGCACCTCTGTGTAACAAATTTGCATTGGTCTGACCTTCTGAGGTGACGCGACGTGACCCCTGGGCCAGTCAAAGCAACTGCCCACCGGCAACGCATCCCACTTATGGAAGTGGTCTCCAGGGGACCTGATGAGCAAGGACGAGAACGCGCTGAAATGGGGCACCAACTCGCCTCTAAAGCTGCTAACTTCAAAGCACCACCTGGGGAAAGCTCCACGGCCCCTTTGGTGACGTCACGCCACCCCCAGAGTGCAGTGCCGAGCCGGCGGCAGGCTCTGGAAGCTCCCCAGTGCGCGTCGTCTCGGCCGGCGGGGTTCCGCCGCGCCGGCACAGGACTGCACGGGCCCCGCCGCCGACCACCAGTCGACCTTGGTGCTGGAGTACGATGTCTCCGCCGATCAGGTGGGAGGGGAGCGGACTAACCCCGCCACAGGCAGGGGCCGGCCATGCAGCCCCACATCTGAGCTGTGTGCTCGGTGAGAGCTGACGATTGTCGGGTCGTCTCGGTCGATGCCATGAAAGCCGATTTTGGTGTTCAAGCCGTGATGTTGGTGATCAAGAATCGCACCTGGCGTGTATTGCGGCTATGATTAGGGAATAAATTAAGGATTAAGGGCGTAGAAATTCATGCAAGCGGAGGAGAAATGCTAAACAAAATTAACAAGACAAAATCAGTATTATGTAGGTACGAGGATCATATCATTTAATCTCTGTATTGATCCGTCCCATCACAGCCTTAAAATATAAACAAAATGTGCACCAAAAACATTTCAGTGAAACCAACAACAAACTTTTAAGTGCAGCAAACCTTGAGAGAATGGGTGCTTAGGAGCAAATCGTGACACTGATCTAAGTACTCCAGGCTGAGCCTCTGAGCCGATTTTACGAGACATACAACCCCGGAGGTCGCGCAGTGGCTGACCCCATCAGCCCCGAACGTGCTCTTGACCCTGGCCTTTGAACGTCTTCCGAACCAAGTCATCGTCCCGTGACGCTTACGCGCCTGCCTGAGCATCGGGAGAGGAGACGATGACTTGGATGGGAAGACTCGCGAAGGACTGATGCAAGGGCGCATTCAGACCTTCTGGGGTATTCCCAGTCACTCTTCCGGTCACTCAGACTAGGAGGATCACGTAGTTCGTTTTAAGCGACCGAACGATGCCGTTGACATCCATTTCCCACTCTTGCCCACCCGCTGTCCCTGCCGGCTTCGCTCTGGGTGCGCTTCTGATAATAGCGAATGTGAGCTGTGAATCATGGCTCGCCGATGGCGTTCGGCACCTAACATGGCGCCGTCCGGGTTCATGGGCAGCTGAATCGAGTCGGGAATCCGGCCGACGCCTCGCGAACTGGTGCTGAAGAGTGCTCAGCGTGCACGCTCGACATCAACGGAGCCGTTCTTCGACGTAGGAGGAGTGCCTGCATACAGTGGCCTCGCCTTGTCTCGCCGGCGCTCACTGACTAGTGCATCTAAGCTTTCAAAGATCTACAATGAAAGTATGCATAGGAATTCGGAGCGAGCGTTGCATGTCACTGTTCAGCTTCACGGTTGAAGCGCTGCGGGTGTTGCGCTGAGCACAAAGTACAAGCTTGAACCAGCACGGCTGCAATCGAAGTCCGCACATGCCTGCCCATTCTCCTCATAATCACGTCACGCCCAGGCTCCGGCAACTCCTCCCTCCCGATAACAACGTGTAGCATGGTGAGAAGCCGAACGAAGCCGGGGACGCACGCCCACTACCGACCGATCCCCAACCGCACGCATTGTCTGCCTTAATTCGCGGCACTCCCCACCGAGTTGGCCGAGCACCATGCAACGAGACCCGGTCGAGGCGCGTCTACGGCGAAGCAAAGCCTCCGCTGGCCGGAAACAGTCTCGCATGTCGCCTCGAGGAACGAGGTCAGCCTCGCACGCCGTGGTACAGAGGCCATAAGATCGGAGTGACGTCACAGGGGCGGGGGGGGGGGGGGGCGGCTGATGGGGGTGGTATGCCGGCGGCATGCGCATGACGCATGATTATCCGAGGGAGGGCCACAGGGCGGGCTGATCCGCACTGAGGCCCCATGGGCAGCTCAAGAATGCCCACCGCTCGACCAATCGGAAGCTAGCCCGCTAACCTGAATGGGGGCTCGGGCTCAAAGCATGGGAAAGAGCCCAGAGCTGGAATTGCACGCCATCGATTCGACGTTGAATGGCGCATGTCGGAGACCTTATCTCCCCCCCCCCCCCCCTATAACCCAGCCCCCAGTGCCTGCAGCCGGGCCAGCAGACGTGCGGCATCTTCCAACAGCGCCACCGAACCATGCCTAGGGCGAATCGCCGCATCCTGCCTCACAACGGAGCGGAAACCGCCGACCGGGTACCACCCCACCCGCCTCCTGCTGCCGCAGCCATTCACACGGTATCGAAAGCGAGAGCCGCTCTTGACATTGGCGGCGGCCCGTTGCGCCATTAGCATGCGTTGCACGCCTCGCCGCCGCGGCTAGTTTTGTGCCGGCGTTTCTGTAAGCCTCGCACACGACGCGACCGTGTGCGCCTCTCGCTCGGCGATCAGCTCCCCGTGAGGACCAGAGCCGGTCCGGCACAGTCGAGTGGGATGGCAGTGTGGCAGCGTGGCTGTGAAGGGATTCGGTCAACGTTTGCGTTTTGTGGCGTCCCAGGTTGGATGCAAAATCTCCCGGCCCGCTGTGCGATAGAGCTTAATCGAGGTCGTGCCTGCTGTGAAAATTTAGTGCTGTAGACATGGTGCACTTGCCACGATTTTTGCACACTGACATTTTAATTTGCATTAATTACCTGACTTGCTGATCGTGTACCATATCCATGTAGTAGCAAGCCCTCCGATCTCCATGATTGGTTCAAATCGCGGATATTTGTTGCCGCACAAACCTTTGTTTTCATTCGTAACATATTGGAATTAAATTGATTTGAACTGGTACAGATAATATGGAACGAATTATCCAGTTTTGCGATGTGCGGAAAAATATACCTGCTTTACAATGAAGTGTATTTTACGCATCATTGAACGCTTTATAAACACCAGCTGATTCACAAAAATAGCAGTTATTCTAGCATATAAAGAAAGCAATGGGTTATTTTTTACTTGCATGCTCAGCCTTGCTCCGCGGAAGTTTACCACCGTGTGCTTCAACCCACTCGTGGAGATCTCATGGTCTTCTCATTCACGTGCGCCCGCACCCCACCTCGCCCGCCCCCTCCCCTCCCCAAATTCCTGTACCTTACGGACGTGCTCCATCGTCCTCGTTCTGGGGAGTGGCTTTCGTGCCCAGCCGCTGGTATGTTGCACGTGCTTATCCACGCGCTTATATCTTGGAAAGCCCGGGGAGTGCTGCAGGTGTACATGTGAGAGTTCACTCAAGGTGGCATGCCTCAGCTGACCTTAGTTTTAGCTCGACGGTATCTAAGTGCCGCCGTTTTCATGATTCACCCTTCTCTGCAAAGTTCCGGATGTCTGCACTAGGTTAATGTGACTCGCCGTCGGGGACATGCCCGCGCCTCCACCTTCAAGCTAAATTCGTACCCCCCCCCCCCCCCCCCTCCCCTCCCCCGGCAGCCGGCAGACGGGGACCGCGGTGCCACATAGCAACATAACACCGAGAGACCGCAGGGGACGGTATCAGGTTAGCGACCATCAGCGGCCCTGGCCGTCGAATTCTATTTGTATTTATCGCCACTTACCCTCCATTTCTTAGTTACATTTCATTCAGAGAGATGCAGACTAGTGCCTAGTTTTTACCGTTACAAAGGCATTCAGGTGCATTTAATGCAGCTAATGACAAGGACATTGTCATGAATCAGAATGCAGTGTACGAGTTTTGGGAGCTAAACTCGTCTCTTCAAATAAACCGGTCAGGTGTGTAGGTATGTCACAGGAGCGGTTGAAATTTCCGTGGAGTATATATTCATATGAAACTACGACGGGCCGCCTAAAAATAGCAGAACGTCAACAAAATCTACTTCAGTATATTTTGTGAAATACATTTATCTGCCTTTATCGAAATAAGTGCTCTAAGACTACTTCGAAAAGCTTTTGACTGCACTTCGACAGCAAAGGAAGCATTTTGTTTAAAGATTCCATTGATCGCATCCAGGACTAATTTGTGTTGAAATATGATAACGAGAGAACTGTATACCAAACTTGCTGTTTGGGTGCGCCGGACTGAACCTAAATAAGAGATCAAGACCAAATTTTGCACATGGTCTACAAAATGAGGCCGCGAATCCGTCACATATTATTTTTTGATATTCCGATCGCATTACAGAGTGCACGGACAAGCCGTGCTTATTGGCATGTTTCGTCCATTTTTGTCGAGCACACTTATATAGACGCCGTATTTATACATCCGCAAGGCTACTCATATATATATATATATATATATATATATATATGCATCTAGATAATCAGCACACATACGCAGTGTCCGCCTGCCCCAGCGAGTGCACATTGAGCCTTAGCGTGTCCGCCTACCTGAGCGCCTGCCATGCCGGCGTGGGTCGGGTGCGGCGCACACCGGCGGCCGGTCCTGAGGAGGTCTCTTGGCAGACGACACCCAGCCCGCTCTGCGCCGTTCACGGTCCTCACTGCCGGCCCGGCGCGCGCCCACTGACACGGCGGCCATCTCAGCAGGGCGACTTTCACTCGCCCCCCTCCCCCCGCCCCGCGCGGCCCCGGGGCCTGCGGGGAGGGGGCTCTGAGCCGGCTCCCCACTGAGTCAGCCGCCCCCCCCCCCCTCCCCGAGATGGAAGCCTGCCGCTCTGCAAGCTGGTCAGCTCCTTGTCTCCGCGTGGATGAGTGGGCGTACCCTGGCGCTAGAGCGCTGTACATTGAATGAGTAATCGTTGATTGACTTATTTTGATTAATATGTTCAGATGTGAACGGCTGATGTGCCTTACGTTCCATCAAAGTTGACGTCAAGTCATTAAGCAAACACTTTTTCACCTAACAACGTGACTGCACGGTGCAAGTTGTGATTCCAGGGCTATTCAATCCAGAAGCTGCGTTATGCCAAGTCTTGAACACCTCCTCAGGAAATGCGGAACGCATTTTGCAGAGCATGGTGCCGTTGTCCTGCAAGAAAGTTTGCGTGTATGTCATCAATGGCGCACCCAATGTGGCGGGGCACTAAGACACTTCTAGCACCCGCGGGTTTTCGCACCCACGAAGGCGCCCTTGTTATAGGAAAGTTGCAACTGCTTGAAATAGTTGACCCGCTGATGAAAACAAGGCACTCCTGTTTCTGAATGTTTGTTTACATCCTGTTCAAGCGGATGTCCCGCCCCACGCCTGGCTCTTATTTGCGATAGTTGTATCTGAGACCGTACTTTTTCGCCTTTGTTCTTGCACGCGCCACAACAATGAAGCCATCGCATTACCTAACCGGTTTTTGTGCTATCTTTACGACTTCGGATACTACGCGTGATGTGTGATGACTGCTGGCCATCAGCTCACCGCCATTGATTAGCTGTATCTTTCATTTCCTTCTCGCATTAACAGAGGCGAATTTTCATCAAGTGATCGCGGCACTGATGATAATCGCGGGGTATAACACCCTGCTGGACGCCCTCCTGGTGTGAGCCGCCGCCCACAGCGTGCTGGCACAGCCGATCAGACCAGCAGATCAGGAGCCGCTCCCGGTCGTCCAGATCGCCGGGCGGGCGATGCTCCAGTTGAAGAACATTCCCAGAGGGGTGAACAAGCAGATGCGGTTTCTGGGCCTCGTCGCGCTTCAGAAGCGAGATGTCGGCGCGGCATGGTTCAGTGAGCTGGCGGCAGCCCGTCCCACACTATCCACTGGGCTGTGCTGCTGCTGTCCGCGGAGGATGGCTGCAGCCCTTCCCACACCGTCCACTGGGCTGTGCTGCTGCTGTCCGCGGAGGATGGCGGCAGCCCGTCCCACACTGTCCACTGGGCTGTGCTGCTGCTGTCCGCGGAGGATGGCGGCGGACGTTTGGTGTTGCCTCCTGCGATTCGTTCATACCAGTTACCTCCCCGTGTGTTTGGATCGCTTCGCTGCATGTTTTTCGGAGTGCGAGCAAGCATACTGTGGCGGCGCCCGCTGCACCTGAACGTTTCAAATACATGTGTCTGCACTGAAACTAGCATTTTGCGCAGGTCGGGCAGATGGCCTGCCGTTCGGAGGCACTGGTGGTCTTTCCCAAAATGGGGTAAACATGAGAACAGCGCTGCGAATTGACCTGTGAAGGTTTTACAAGAACGTTGCCTGAGCGCCATAAAAGGCCTCGATTGGGTCCATGGACCGGCTTGGGAGATTCGCCATGAAAAACGTTAAAGACAGATCGGGGATCGTGCCATGTTTAAACGTTGGTCCTTCTGTGCGTCTAACAAATGTGTCATTAAGGGTCTGGAGACCCCTGGAAAACTTATTTGACACTACCTAAGATGGTCGCGTTCGCCGGAAACCTTCTTTAAAAAGATTTTCGACAGGTTTCAATGGTGTGGTTAAAATATGTTTCAAGCCTTTTTATACTATGATGGTCTCCAGACGACGCACTCTGGATGTGCTGCGTTGCATGAACTGTCCGTTACACGTGTCTCGTTTACTTTTAGTTTGAAGAAGGTATTTTATCCGCGTCTCGCCAGGTGCTCCTATTCCGGCCTTTTGCCGAATGGATGATGCGACGGATGGATAATAATTGATGGGTACAGTTTTAGTTGAAGATGGGCTGGCTTTTTGCTGTCGTTAAAGCTGTTATAACATTTATTAATACTGACCTTAATGCTGAGTCCAGATTACCCCCACTGTAAGGTATTTTATGAAGATTATTCTTTTGGCACCATATTTGTGTGGAGATAAAACGCGTGCACACGTGGGCGCGAGGAGTGGGTTGAGGGCGCAGAATGGATGTGGTTAAGGATCCTGACAAGTTAAAATGCTTCAGAGGCATCATCTCCCATCTTCCAAGCAGTCTCGGAAAACACAGGATCGTGCTTACAAGTATGCCAATGGTAATAAGTGAGCTTATTTCCTCATATCTGATGCCTTGTTCAATATCTTCAGATCTGGAATATTCCCTTTAAATGGGATACCCTACGATTGAAAACATTGGTGCAGGCATCAGATGTGATGAAATAAGCTCACTTTCGATTTGGGTGCTTTTTGGTGGAACAGACCGCTCCAGACAACACAATTTCTCTGTCCAGTAAATATGCTCCTCAATGCGCCAGTGTTTGATATCAACACCGTACCTTGCACAGCCTCGTAATCGTGCTGACGATCGCGAAATATGATCAGCTCGACAATTATATGTTCTTTGGCCTTGATCGCAGCATGGTTAATGGAATGGCAGGAATTAAATAACGTTATCATGTCTGGGTGACACTGAAATAGTCTCCATCAAAAAGTCTGCATAACTTCGCGGGCGTTTAGCTCAGGCACTAGAAGGGTGTAAATCTTAAGAAGAAAAAGATCAGGGCTGTAAACTGCACCAGATGAACTTCAAGATGGCTATTTCAGTTCAAAATCACATACAGATGTGCAACGCTGCCTTAATCGAAGCCACGTATCACAAAGGCATGCTCAAAACAAAACAAGGATGTGAATTTTACTTCCAGATTTTGGCCCGTGGACTCAAATTATGCCCATCTGCTTCTTAAAAGTTTATGGTGGTTACCCAGCTGTGCACAACTTTTGTCGTTGTCTGTGTTTGCTTCTTGTTATAATAAGGAAATACATGGGCATAACTTAATGCCTCAAAAGTGGACACTATATAGTTTTATGCACTTATGCATGGCTGGCAGAAAAAAGTGTCATTGCAGAGAGAAGTATGCTGCAATGCATACTGATTATTCCTTGGAATCAGAAGCAGATGCAGATGACAAAAAGAAACCTGTCTTTAGTTTAAACGATTCAACCATACCGCTACTTTTCACCACCTTAACATGTTAGCGTTATGTATATAATGCAAACATGTGTTATATGTAGCATTTTATCCTCCTTTTAGCCACACACATTGATATAGACAACGTATAGTGGGAAAACTGTGTAAAATTGAGTCGCAAACATCGTCTTGGCTTACTGGTGCATAATCACTTAAGATGGTGACCCATGATCACTTAATGTATGTTTGTGGTAATAAGCTCCACTGTTCCACAGTTTACTACCTGCAGTGAAGTTGGTGATGACCTTGATGATTAACACGCGCCCGGGTGGCCGGCTAGATACCCTTCGCTCGAGTGTGGGGGGGGGGGGGTCAATCTGAACTTCCCTTGAGATCTCGGGAACTAAGAAAGCTAGAGACACCAAATGTACAGCGTGTCTTAACCTGTACGTGAACTCACTTGGGTCAAAGTTTGAGCTTCCTAGGTCATGACCCTCAGGTCCAATAAGGTCAAACAAGGGTAAAATTCTAGGTTGGTCTCCAAAGTGCCCGCAGAACCTAGGCAACCGTTTCTAAGCAAAAGGTCAAAATTTGAATAAGCGACAAAGATTACGTTGGGCAGTGTGCTCCTAAAACAAAATGTCGACCCGGATCATCTTAGGTCAATAACCTTTTATTAGCTCTAAGAAGTCAATGAAAGATGCCTTATGTAGATCCTGTTGTCAATAAATTCGAAATGAGCACTACAAACTGTCCCATACAGCAAGCCCTAGAGTAATCAGTCAGGTTCGTTGTGACCTTGGTCTGACCTTCATACCTGTTCTTTGGTCAACGTAATTTGCTCATTCAATATTTGTGGTGCCTAAGAAAGCATCTTAGAGATGAAGGGCCTCATCAAACACTCCGTTATTGTATCAGATTGGACAATTCCCTAGAAATTGCCTTCGCTGAAACCATGGCCTGACTTTGCCCTGCCATAGGTCAACGACCTTACAAGGTACAGCTAAATGTTTGATGTCAAACAATCCGCCATGCAATTTTCTACAGCTATGCAAAATTTGGCGCGGGTACGCTGCGCCGTTCGGAAACCATTATGGAAAAAAGCCTTCGGGAGGGGCCAATTTGACCCCCCACCCGAGCGCGTGTTAACAGGGCATTGACTGGAATGACATTAGGTTGCGCTTCTTGTTTTGCAGGCTGCTTTCACCTGTTTGGGAACAGGGCATCTATACTATCTACTCTGAATTTTTGAGAACATGTGCATGAACATGTCTTAGAGCCCAGAAATTAACCACAGGTTCTGATCTTGACTTCTACGGGTCTACTGCGTTCGTTACTATCCACTTGTGATTTCTCAGGTGGGTTAAGCAACTCGAGCAGCATCCAGCTCGTCGCCACATTCCGGCACATGCACGAGACGCAGCAGAAACATCACGAGGCTGGATCACAAATCCATCCTGATGGTTGTGCGTCACAGTCCCAGTCAGCGGGGTGCCGATGGCGCGTGTGACACCGACAACACCGAGGTGCTCGATATCCTAGACGATCATGATTAGCGACCGGGGCTGTCCTCCGTGGTCGCCATTGCGTTTGTCCGCCTTCCGAAGGGTGCTGAATAGAGTAGGTTGCACCACCTGCTAAGAAGCGCTGGTGAGCGGTCAGGGGTCCGACGACCCCACAGCCTTATGTCGCCGTTTGTGACTGAAAAACAGCGGTGGGCTGACGCATCCTTCCGCAAGACTACTCAGAA